TTTCTGAGCTTGTATACGTTCCAGAAGCAGCTGCATGATGACGTCAGGACGTCCCATGTAGTTCCAAAACGGAAGCTGACAGCCAGTGGGTTTGCTTTGTTTTTAAAATCCAGTTTGGAACATTTAAAATAGATTCTGAATTGTTGTAAAAGAGAATCACRATTCTAATGTGAATCGATTTTTTAGATATTTTAAGCATTTAACATCAGTCAATATCGATATTGTTGATTGGGGTTTTTTTTGTGTTGTTTTTGTTTTACCTATTTAAAATAAGGACCAGAATAAAAACGACGGATTAATTCTGCCAAACTGATGACCTTTCCTCTTTTATCCACAATTTCCTCTCAAGCTGTTGCACTCATTTCCTCCTTTCACTCCACGTTCTTTTTATCTTAAGCATTTCTGAGGCGAAACGTCTTTTTTTTTTTTTTTACCTGGATTACTGAGATGCATCAAGACATGAAATTCAAGTTCAAGAATCTTTATTATCTCCAAGGGGCAATTTGTTGCACAGCCAGTAGACAACATAACAAAGAAAACATTCGTACACAAACACACAAAAATCACAGATGTTCAGTAAGAACTTTAACTGGTGCTGGTTTAAAAGAGTTGTTAAGTCTATTAGTCCTACATTTGATCAACTGGTACCTGCGTCCAGACGGAAGCAGCCTGAACTCACCATAGAGTGATCAGGGTCTGCCAGAATAAGCTTGGCCTTTTTTCAGTGACCTGACCTTGTGTAGGTCAGCGAGGTTCTGTAGGTCTATAGCAGCAGTTCTGCTGCATATCCTGACAATCCCCAAGAGTTTGTTCCTGTTCTTAATTGTTAAAATACCAAACAAACCGATAAAAGTAAAAGACACTCAATAAAACACGAATAAAACATTCTCATAAAAGTTGAATTGACATTAAAACCACAGAGCTTTAAATACGTTCTCTGATGGTCCTTCTTACAGAGTGAGTTCACATGAGCATCAAAATTCAGTTTGTCATCCAAAACAAATMCAAGATATTTATATTGGTGCACGACTTCCACAGCTTCATCATAACCACAGGAGTGACTCTGACACGCGTTACTCAACAGGGGTCGGATTTATAAAACTGGCGTAYGCACAATTTGAGCCCAGAAACTTGCGTACGTCACTTTTTACACCAAGGTTGTGATTTATAAAATCCAAACTTGACGTGAAAATGTGCGGTGCCTCACGCCAGATCTGACCCATGCGTATGCTCATTTTGGAGACGTGAAACTGCGACACAGATGGTGAAGTGGTGAATTAGAGCCACATTGTGTAATGATCACTGTCAGATATTTAATTTCACTTCATAATCAGACTTAGATTTTTATTCAGCTTTTCATCAGCTTTCTTAACAGTAATATTTATGCTTCTGCTGCTGARCCATGAGGACCTTTGAAATAAAAAAAAACTTAAATCTTAAATAAAAGTTCCCGTGCGCAACTCCCTTCATCTGCTTCCTCCTCAGACGACCCTGACCCACAGACCCCTCCCCGACAAGAACAGCAGGACAGCAAAAGTCACGCTTTGGCTACACGCGCAGGGCGCATCCACCTCACCAGTGTGGATGTTATGAAACTTCACGTTTAAAGTCCGTGTTTGTCACATGCGGGGGGAGTGTGCGTGTGTGTGTGTGTGTGCGTGCGTGCGTGCGTGCGTGCGGTGCGGGGGTGTCTGCCGCCGCAGATAACAGAGCAGGCAGGAGGGGGAGAGGACGAGGAGAAGAGCAGTGAACTTATTTCTAATTTTATCTGACTTATTTAAAAAAAAAATTATTGGTTTTTATCATCCAGGCTCTGATGGAAAATTAATTTGAAGCTGAGTATTTTTTTTATTTACTCTAAAGCAAAAAGAGGGAAAATCTGTGTCAGTTACAGACATTCTGTTCACGTGAGCAGCTGTCAGTCAGCACCTGTCATCATCCAGATGCAGACGGAGTGTCTGAACCAATCACTTTTGTTGACACTGATCAGCTGACTGATTTAAATACATCTTAACATTCATGAGGTACTTTGCATTGACGGTTCATGGTTGAGTGTGGGCGTATAGTGGGTATAACCTGAGGCGGGACCTCTTGCACAAACTCTGACGTGCAGCTGTGATTTATAAAGGAAAGATGCGCAGAAACGTGCGTACGCACGGTTTTATAAATCTGAATTGTTTTTGGCGTACGCCATTTCCGCCKTTTGGCCGTACGTTCACTTTTAGTATGGTTTCCACGCAATCCTTTATAAATGAGACCCCAGGTTATTAGTTTACCAAAGAGTGAGTTAGTTKATGCCACCAACCTTGTTTAATTGGGCTGTGAGGCCGAGTAGCTAAAGCCTTTCCTCTGCCTACTTCATACCTCAGTGAAATCAAATTTTCTCTTGATTCTGATCACGTGTCTGTCACGATATATATCAGTATAGATTTATCGCCCAGCCCCAGCTAGTATCTCACTGTGACTGTTGAAAACTAGTTTTCGTCTCAAAACTGTACAAAAATAAGCAAAAATATTCTGTTGCAGTCGCGCTGAAATTCTGAGTGTTTGTGATCCATGCAGCTGCAGTTTGCGTGGACGGTTTTTGAAAGCTGGGGTCTAATTTAGTGCCAAGCTATCTGCTAGGTCACGCATGTTATTTCAAGTCGTTTGTATTTTTCTGTCATATTGCTGATCACCAACACCCCGAAATAACCTGCAGATCAAAGTCCAAAGTCTGATTGGAGCTGATGTAGTTTAAGGCTTTAAAATAAATATGATTCATCTTCACGTGTGGAKTTTAGTTCCTGAGCTGATTATCTGAATGTGTTTTGTTGTTTGCAGTGTTGCTGGTGCTCAGTTTTTATTGGTGCATGAAGAAAAGATCAAAGTAGTTTTGTTTCCATCCTTTTGAAGCTGATTAGGTTACAAAACATGACTGATGTGGTGTGAAATGTTGCTTTAATGTCTGAAACCAGAAGACTAGCAGTTTGGTTAAGCTTAGCTGCATCTTCGCCCTGCCTGTCACTCCCATCCATCTCTGCCCACCCTTACCTTTCATTCATCCTGTCATACTCAAACTGTCACCGCAGGGAGAGGAGGCCAGAAACCTTCCTGGAGAGTCTGTGACCGAGGAGCAGTTCACAGATGAAGACGGGAATCTGGTCACCAGAAAAGTAACCTTCCTCATCCTCCTTCCCCACCTCTCTATTCCTAACCCACAATCATACCTGCTCATCGTTTTCTTCCATTGTTTCTCCTCTCAAAACATCTCCCCGCCTCCTCCTCCTGACTCGTTCTGCCCTCACAGGTGATCAGAAAGGTGGTGCGCCGAGTTTACAACTCAGAGGAAAAGAGGGAATGTGAAGGCCAGATTATACCAGAGGAAGAAACTCCTGGTGGTGGTGTAGCAAAAGGTGAAGCAGATGCTTCAGTGGGAGCAGCAGGAAACAAGGGGGGGAAGGGCAAGAAAAGAGGGAAGCGTTCCCGCCACGGCAACAAGGAGGAAGCCCAGAGACAGAAACCGGAGGTTGGAGTTAGACCGACCGCCTCACTTCGTCAGATTATTAATCTGAGTTTAATTACTGCATGGTTCTCTAACTGGATGAAAATGCTGAATCGTCTGAGCTGATGGTCCAAAAGGGGGCCGGTTTATTCAGTTTGAACTAACAGTCACTAAAAAGGCATATAGCTGCTAATTTTTATTTATTTATATATTTAGAAATTTATTCATTTCATTAAAAAAAATAACTATACACAATAGAAGAAATAAATAAATATATATGCAAATTAAATCAAATGAAAGATAGCAGAAAGACCTAAAAAAATCATTTTTTACCAAAAAATATATTCAAACTATAGTAATTTACAAAAAAACTAAACAAAGCAAAAAAAAAAAACGTAAAGCAGCTGAAAGAAGCATAAAAAGCTTAAATTGATTCAAAAAGTTGTAAATAACAGAAAAGTAACTAAAAAGAGCAGAAAAATGTGAGAAAAACTAAAGGTTGCAACAAAAGAAGCTAAAGAAAGCTGAAACCAGCAAAGCAAAAGCAGAACCTGAGAAAAAAGTTAAAATAAAGATTTCTAAGGATTTTAAAGGGTAAAGAAAGGATGTTGAAGACAGCTTCATTTATTTTCAGTCAGACAATAAAATGGCCGAAAAAGCTAAATATCTCTTTGCTGAAATACCAAAACTTATCGCTGGAATTTCCTGAAGTAGCTGAATATTTTTATATAAAATGTTCAAATAGTACAAAATCTACTAAACGTGTTACGTGCTGAAAACATACTGAAGAAAAGTGAATGATTTGCTTTTATTTTATTGATTTTTTTGGATGTTTTGGTGGAAAACCTGCAGCTCTGTTGGTCCTGACCGACATTAAACTTTGCTTCTGCAGCAGCAGATTATTACTAGTTGTTTTCTACACGTGTTTTAAAGGATGCAGTGGTTTGGAAGTGTTTTTCAGATTGTCATCAAATATTACTGTTTGTATTGAAGTATTAAAATATAACAGTCTTTCCTTTCTTCTATGAGCATGTGTAATATAGTTTGTTCTCATCTTTAACTAATTTTTCTTCCAGCATGCTGTAGAAACCAAGCAGATCTAAGCTTCCATAACACTCATGGCTCCTTTTTAGCTTGACCACTGAAGTGATGTCTTTTTTAATTATTTCTTTTTATCTGTCTCATGATAAACCTCACTGCTCCCGTCAGCCTGGTGACGCTTCCAACAAAAAGACGGGGAAGAAGAGTCAGTCGTAACACCGGAGCGCTCAACTACACCTGGTAGAACATTAACATTTATTCTCTTACTTATGCAGATTATTATTATTATTATTATTATTATTATTAGCCAGGAGAAGAAAACTGTTTTGTTTCCTCTGCAGGTTTCTGAACGTCCACCTGCGACCCCCCCTACACACCCACTCCGGGACGAGAACCACTCCGGAGCCCGGGAAACAGGATCCGGGTCCGTCGGCCAAATCCTGTTTGAATCGTTCACCTTTCCGCATGGTTTTCAGCAAGACGACGTTACTTTTCCTTGATTTCGCATGAGCATGTCACCAAACTCACTATCAGATGGACGTAAGCTGGAAAAATCTACTGGAGAAAAAAAACTTCTTTTTTTTTTTGGCGAATGAACTGCAGCCGGAACTAAAAGAGAGGACAGACTTCACTCTCAGACTCGCCTCATGGTTTGTTTGTTTTTTTTTCCCCCTGGACTGAGTTGCACCATGTGCTTCTTTTATAAGAAATCTAACAGTAAATGGATTGATTTTTGTTGTATATAAATGACTGTATAAAAATCTTTTAAAAACAAAAAAAAAAAACAAAAGTAGCTTCACAGATTGTTTATGCACTGATCCGAGTTGATGAAGCTTCGCGGAGTTCGCTGCGTTTGTTTTCGAGGCCGACGCTTCGAGTGTGTGACCTGATCTGCTCTTCCTACGCAAATTTAAAAAGGAACAAAATGGCTGAATGAAAACGAGGAACGAATGGAGGTAAAACACTTTTCTTTTGTTTGTTTTTTTCTTTAAAGGCAACAGCTGTGGAACATCCTTCAGAGAAATGATTTGTTGCTGCATGTGATGTCACTTTACTTTGAAACGCTTTCCTTTTATCTAATTCAAAGCACTGTAACACAAGTAGAGAGTACTTTAGTGTGTGTGTGTGTGCACTCATAACACAAACATGTCATTTACAACTAAGTTTTTATGAAAACACAAGTGGTGAAGACAGTAAAACTTTTCTCCTTTGCTACTGAAGAAATGCCACTGTCCTCCAACAAAACCTCCAGATTGACATGTTAGCTCCAAACTGCTATCAGTGCGCGCGCACGCATGTGTGTGTGTAACATAAAACTTGTGTACCTCTAAAACCCATCAATCATACCAGAAACATTTTAGCTCTGCTGGTGTTTTTAAAAAAAAAGAGGGACTCTTTTGATTTTGTAGTTTTCTGACGTTCATCTTGTTTGTTATTTTCACGAAACAGAAGATTTTAACCTGAATCAAACCGACCAACAGCTGAAATCACACTAATCACACTCGTGGTGGCACGTTGGTAAAACAAACAACTTATTTCTTTGTGTGTGTGTGTGTGTGTATAAATCTTTTTTCTGTACTTTTTTTTTCCACCCTATGCATTCACTGATCATGAATCTGGTACCAACATGTATGATGAACCAACATAGCCTACACTGGATGATCCAAGTAATTATTTAAGCAAAAAAAATAAATAAATTGTTTTAACTGAACAACTTTAAGTCAGACTGGTTTTTAATGTAAGTTTTTTAAATTGTATCTTTTGCTGAATTTTTTTCTGGAGGTTTCTTCCTGTTAAAAGGGAGTTTTTCCTTCCCACTGTCGCCCCTGTGCTATACAGTATAAATCAATATATTCTACATGACATTTAATGTCTGTACTGAGCTCCTGCACTCAACTGTTTTTGTTTCAATCGTTTGCGTATCTGAGGTTCATGGGTTCACCTTTACTGAGTTACACTACAAAACATCATGCATTATTTTATCTGAACCAGTTTCAGGTGCGGTTTATTTCTCCTGCTGCAGAGGAGCTCGCAGAACCTCCAGCCCTTCACAATAAGAGTCTTAAACACGCACACTGAGGATCGACTTCAAAATCTTTGGTAATCTAAGCTGCAGTTTGTTTTACTCAAAATAATCTAAAGAAACATCAGATCCTTCTCTAATTATTATAGCATTGCTCTGTTTACATGCAGACATTCCCCTTTGACATCACTTCCTGTTTCTTCACATACAAATATCTCAACAGATGTTCATCTTAACGACATGAAATTTGTTTTGCAATATGTTATCAATGTTCTCTTTACAAAAACGCATTCACATTTAATATGAAAATTTGATGCCACAGGCACTTTAAACAGCCCCTCAAATGGGTTTAACTAAAACACTGAGTGCTTTTTGTAGTTATTTCAATAAAAGTGCACCAGTAATAAAAATTATAATAATCTAATATGACATGGATACAGAGTAAAGAAGTCATAAAGTCCTGAATAAAGAGGTTTTTGAGTAGAAGGGTGTTGGGACAGGACCTCCACAGAGCTGGGTCAGAGGTATATAGGGCACCTGGAAGTCATCTGGTCCCTTTTTACAGTTTTTTTTTTTTAATTCATTTAAAAAAATAGGGCCAGCATATAATGAATCTGAGTTAATCAATAACCTGTTTTATATGCTGAGCTAAAGTTTTCCTTCAACATTTGGATTTATCCAGCTTAAAGAGGATCACATGCAGAACATGCAGATGGATTCTTCTACAGTAAAATGTTTTAACGCGTCGCCTTAAACAGCAGTTTTTTTTTTCTAGAATTTTAGGTCAAAAGCCGTTTTAAGTTCTCGATCAGCAGAAATGTCCTGAGTTCATTTTGCAAAATGCAAATATTGAATGTTCTGTTTGCAGCACTGACTATTTGTACAGAGCGGCACAAACACACCCGGGTGACGTGTGGGCCGACGTCATCGCTGCGAATCAGGCCAAAGGAAACGTCTGGAGTTCAGATATTTATTATTGTTTCAGGAGGATGTTTTTATCCTCTGGCTGTACAAACAACAACAACAAGAAAGCAGAACATGGGGGTCTTTTAAAGGGGCTCATTTGAGTGTGTTTGTGTTCAAAATAACTGGATTCCATCACAGCAGATCTGCCAAAAGAAGGTCCACCAAAACTCCTGGACCAGGTAAGATAACCCCGATCTTCTGCTGAGACTGGAGGACCTGTCCACAGGAGGACCTGTCCACAGGAGGTCCTGTCCACAGGAGGTCCTGTCCACAGGATGTCCTGTCCACAGGAGGTCCTGTCCACAGGATGTCCTGTCCACAGGAGGACCTGTCCACAGGAGGACCTGTCCACAGGAGGTCCTGTCCACAGGATGTCCTGTCCACAGGATGTCCTGTCCACAGGATGTCCTGTCCACAGGAGGTCCTGTCCACAGGATGTCCTGTCCACAGGAGGTCCTGTCCACAGGATGTCCTGTCCACATGATGTCCTGTCCACAGGAGGTCTTGTCCACAGGAGGTCCTGTCCACAGGAGGACCTGTCCACGGGATGTTCTGTCCACAGGACCACGAGAAGCTGGACGGAGCGGGGCTTCATGGGAGAGGAGCAGGAGTATCAGAGACGCCCCAAACGTGTGGAAGGAGGAGCTGCGGACAGACAAGACATCGAGGACAAACGTCTCGTGACAGAACTGCACGGCTACAGTGAAGCACGGTGGTGGCAGCGTCATGCTGTGGGGACGGGTTTCATCAGAAGAACCAGCAGCAGTTTTTAAAGGTATAACTTCTTTTTTAACCTGGATGGTTTGTTTGTTTCTAGACCCTCAGATCTGTTGAATAAATGTTTTCTATTTTCCACTGCTTTGCTTGAGCCCTGATATTTGATTTGACCATTTTGACAAACGTTTCACTCTCACTTTCCATCTCTTGTTTTTCTTCAAAATTAACACTAACTAGCAATGATACAACTACTAATAATAAAAAATATAATATAAAGAATTTGTGCAAGAATAAAAAAATCAAAAAGAAAAAATAAGGTCCTCTGGATGGGTTCTTCTTTATTGAAACGTTTCGTCTCTCCTTCAAGAGACTTCTTCAGTCTGATGAGTTTCAGGTGAACTCAGCCTTATAAGCACTGCCTCCACATGGACAAACAGGTTGGTGACATGCAAAAGAGGGCCATCACCTAACAATAGGCTTGATTAGCTCTATTTAGTCGCATGCAAAAGAGGGCCATCACCTAACAATAGGCTTGATTAGCTCTAAAAAAAGATGTTTTGTTTTAGACAGTAGGCTATCAGAATCTGACATTAGGAATCAGAATTTGCCTGTTTTCAGTGCAAACTAATCTCAACAGACTAATAACTAAATTATCACTTTTATCACTATTAATACTTCAACACTTTCAAACTGCACTTTGTGTTCGAACTCAGAACGTTTCATTTTGTTTGATTAGAGATGCTGAAAATGTCAAACATCCAAACTGCAGCCAGTAAAAATAAGAACAAAGTCGACACTTTTTAAGGTTTTATTTAAAAAATATCCCAAAGGTTTTCAAAATAAACACTTTAAAAAAAAACTACTTTCACGACAACTGAAACGACGGGTCCAAACCGAGACGCAAACATTCACTTCATTCAGCCGTTCGGCTCTTCATCCAGAAGCCTGAGCCCAGCATGGTTTGTTAAAGTCAGTTTGTTTTTGAGCTTCCCCTCAGAGTGTCTGAAAGAGACGACATCTTCCTGAGACAAAGACAGTCCTGTCATTTCATTCAGCACCAAAATAATCATATTTCTCATATTAAAGTCTCTGTAGTCTTTTTTTTTTAAAGCTCAGACTCCTTTTTTGTTGTGCAGGCTCAGAGCTCGGTTCACGCAGTACGGGACGATGCTGACGGTGACCAGGGGCACGGTGGCGCTCTTGCAGAAGGACAGCAGGTAGAAGAGGGCGGCGGTGTGGGTGGGGGGCTTGAAGGAGTCGAACAGGTGCAGCAGGAGCAGCGAGCTGACCACGCACGCCGCCTGCGCCGACGCACGCTCGCTCCTCTTGGTCTCGGTGTAGAGGGGCGAGTGCAGGCCCAGGCCCAGGCCGAACAGGGTGCCCATGTTGCGCAGAAGGCTGGCGAAGGGCGTGCTGTCCAGGTGGACCCACTCGGGCCGGACGCACCACCTCTGCGCCTTCTCCAGGGTCCAGAGCAGGTCCACGCCCACGGCTCGGAGCAGCAGGTAGAAGCCGACGGCGGAGGAGGTCAGGAAGAGCGTGGTGTAGAAGTAGCTCTTCATGCTGGCGCTGTAGATCCAGCGGGTCCTGTCGAAGGCCTCGGCCACCATCATGCCTGCGTGGAAATCAAGGCAGCGTTAGACCAGTGGTTCCCAAACTTTTTATCTTCTGATCCACAAAATATTCATGGCAAAAACTTGTGACCCCAAATATTACTGGTCTTAGTACACGAACTTTGTTAATAACCCTAAAAACACAGGCTTTTTGACAATCTAAACAGCTTATACACAAATACAAATATTTACTTATAGTTATTTTGTGTTTTTGTAAAATTTGTAGGGGAAATATTACATCAGAAATTATTTTATTACCCTTTAAAATGATTTATGCAGATTATCCAAGGTGCTTCATGACCCATAATTGGGTGCCAAGCCCAACTTTGGGAACCAAAGTGCAGTGGTTCCCAAATGTTTCAGCTTTTGACCCACAAAATAACTCTAGCAGAGACCTGTGCCCAACTATTTTTGGATGATAAATATTTGCATCAGGTCAACTAAACATGGATATAGTAACAATATTTTTATACTACATTTATCTATTTTAAATACACTAACCTCACTCATTTGTAACAACTAAGGCAAAAATGTAATTAATTCAGAAAATCTTTTCWGGACCCCACCTTGATGTTTCGGGACCCCACTTTGGGTCCCGACCCCAAATTTGGGAAACACTGTTTTAGAGGATGCTCCACTAAGCCCCGCCCTGAAATGTTGGCACTGTCTCACACTGACCTGTGATGACACCAGCAATGACCTGATGAGGGAAGTGAGCGGCGATGAAGACCCTGGACAGACACACGCACACCTGGACCCCCCAAAACAGGGACCACAGACCAGCCCTCAGATACCTGCCACAAAAAAAAAAAAAAACTTAATTAGTCAGAACTCCAGGTTTAAACCCCACACTGTAATCTGAATGTAATAAAACTATTATTACTGATCCTCTTTGATCATTACGAGTTATTTATCTGTTTCGAAATGGAACCCAGCCCACAGTAACACCCTCTGTTCAACTAATTCAGCTCAGGCGTCAATGATCCACCACGGTGCTGATAATGTGTTCTGAATGATAACGACGCAGGGAAAGTGGTAAACAAAGCTGAGGCCAGGAAAACTGCAGCTTTCTGTACATTCTGTCAAACTGAGTGGGTTTATTTGGGGGGGGGGTGGGGACTCACCAGTTAATGTTTGATGGCTTCTTGCTGCTGAGGATGAGGAGGATGGACGTGACCAGAGTGTAGTAGACCCCCGCAGCCCCCATCGCATGTCCAGATGGACTGCCTTGATTACACAAAGAAAGGTTGATTTAATCAAACTGAGTTTTGTCTTTAAAGAATAAAAAAAGGAGGTAAATATTATAAAATGCTGTCTGGTTCAGTTCTGTAACAGTTTCATCTTATTCACTAAATAGTTATTAATGTTGTTTTTGTTTTGTTTAATTATAGGATGTTTCAGGTTGAGTTTGATTGTTGAAGTAGTTGTTTTTTTTTAATAAGGGGCAGAAATGATCAGATTGTTTCATTCAGAACAAGATTTACTTTATTTATCACTTGACAGATTCAGTTTTAGTGAATGAAATAAATCAATGAAATTAAATAAAACTACACCGATAATCAAGAAAATACTCAAAACAAATTTATAGTTAGAGTAAAAATAGCAGTTTTACTGTTTTTTTTTTCTTTAGGTCACAAAATTTGAAGAAAACAAAAAAGAAATGATTTTTTTTTACTGTAATTCTTTCTAATGATGCAAGTTATGCAAATAGACTCTTGCTGACATGAAGGTTTTACTCTCAGTTGCTTTTTTGTAATTTAAAACACATTTTGTTGAGCTTTTCTTTTTCTTCTTTCTTTTTATAATTGTTTTTTATTTGTAGCACACTGATGAAAGTCAGGATTTAGCATCATTATATTCGCCAAGTTGTAACATCAGTAAAAGTAAATTAACAGTTGTTTAACCTCTTAAGCCCCAGGGGGTTTTCTTGATGTTTTTGCTCGAAATCCCATGCTGAAATGTAACTGAGTGTATCTCAGCATTACAAACTCTACTTAAAKAATCTTGGTATCAAAATAAAGATAGCACTTAAGAGATTTTATTAGAAGTGTAAGTATTAAAACAGCTGCTGTTGTTTTAAAGATATTGAGGATGGAATATAATTTTTTTAAATTTTTTTCTCTCCCGTCTGAATAATTTTTTCATTAGACAGTATATAACCTATTTAAAACCATAATKAATCAGGCTAAAAACTCTTGGAAATCATAAATCCACTTGTGGACATCACCTGTGCAAAGATTCATGCTGCTAAAWCTAACTGGAGCAAAGTTACAGAGGTTTAAGTAAAGAAATAATTTTGTGTTTTGTCATTCTGCACAGACCATTATGGTACCATTAATAAATGTTAAGAGATCTTAAGATTTTACATCTGAAAGTTTTTTTTTACCTGCCTTAAAAGTCCTTAAAAATTATCCAAACATTTATTTTGTCACCATATATATTATTTAAAATAAAGAGAAATTATACTTTAATTCAGTTGGATCATATTCACTCTACATCAAGTGGAAAAAAAACTCTCAACACACTTTACAACATATTTAGGTATCTGCTTTAACTTACTTTAAAAACAAATGTCTTTTTTTTTTCCTTTACAGATTTGTTGGAAATGTATTTACAGATTTGCAACAATCCCATTTTGTACAGTTTGTTTACTTTCTGTCATTTGAACTGTGTGGATGTAAAAATAGTTTCCATGAGCTTTTAGCCAAGACTCTTAGCTTTCTATTGATGCCTAACGTGTCAAAGTTCAAATTACAGATCTTAAGCTAACAGAAAAAAGATATAGAAAACGGGAAATGCTGTTTTGCATGGGGGGGTCAAAAGGTTAAATGAAAGGATGAAAAACGACATCATGCTTTGCTGTTTTGTGATTTGATCAAAGCTGCACAACTTAAACAGGAAAAATCTATTTAGCTGTGATCATAAAGTTTTATCTTGAGGCTAAAAGTTGATCCTAAACTCTAAACTGTATTTTAACAGTTTTGTTTGTTTGTTTGCATGCAGACTGTGGAGGAAGCTGTGTGCAGAGGCATCCCTCACCTGGTCCGGTCTCGCAGGTCATCGGGTACTGCTCGATGTGAGGACGCGCCGAGTCTGCGTAGTGAGACGTCTCGTGGACCCACCAGTACGGCCTCTCCCCGAACAGGATCCTGAACGACAACACCTCTGTTAGGAGACATTCAGAGACGGGCGAGCCGAATGGATCGAGATCGTGAACTCAGCTCACCACTTAAAGACCAGGTTGAGCCAGTCCCCGATCACGGCCACCCAGATCAGCTTGACGCCCACCGAGGGCCGCAGGTGAAACCAAAGCGGGAAGAAGATGAAGAAGGTGTTCCGGAGGTCCGCCGCCCAGGAGACCCAGAGGAACAAGCCCTGAGCATCTTTGTAGTTGGTCTGCAGGTAGCGGGTGCTGCTCACCCCCAGTCCCTGCACCACATCCATCACAGAGGTGAACATCTCGGGGGGAAAAAACCACAGCTGGGAGGGAGTCTGGCGATGTGTGAGGGAGATGTTCCTAACTGGACTGTTGCTTTCCGTCTCACAGCTGCTCGACTTTATACCAGGAGACCCACTACACAGACGCATGCTCGTGTTGATCTTTGGACCTGACACACGCGTAATAAAACACCCGCAGTTTGGGAGGTTCGACACACAAACAAGGTGAAAAGATAAAGGGGGGATTAGAAGAAAAAAAACGGGGAAAAAATTGGATTCCTTCCCACTGAGTCAGCTCTGAGGGGGGGAGGTTTCCTTCAGCTGACAGCTGAGGGGACAACGATGTTTGCTTTTCAAACCTATTGTCTGTTCTTTCTGCYACTTATTCATCAGTTATATAAATGTTCCTTTAATGATTCGGTGAAAACCTCCCTGCAGGATGGAGCAACAGGTTTGGAGATTGCGTGATTGAAATATCAGCTTGAAGCTGAGGTGTTAGTAGGTCAGGCAGGAGGAACTGTGATCAGATATGATCCATCACTGCTGAATTGCAAAAACTGTCCACCTAACCAAGTTTTAAAATCTTATATCAGTCAAAAAGTCTTTTTCATCTTGTTTTGAGA